CCCCACTTGGAAAGGCCAGTGGGGAGCGATTCAGCACACAAGATCCACACTCAGACAGGTCCTCCCGTGGGAAACCAGGCTGGATTATACCTGTGCTGCTGAGACTTGCTTTTGCTAAAACCCCTCACCCTGAGTTGAAACTGCAGGTATTTAATGTATATCTCTGAAGCAACTAACTAAAGTCTGTGTTAAGCCATCCTTGACGGAATGTAACCAGATCAATCACTTTTATCATGCCTCTGTATTTGCAACATTTTTTTGTTATCTGTGAGAAGTAATCACTTAAAGTAAACCTAAGTATAATGAATGAGAACCTTCTTTGATGTAATGCTGCTGGGAAGCAATAAAAGCCTGTCCAGGCGAGGGGTCAAGGCTCTCTCTCTGAGTGGCCATGCTGTCTCTTTCTCCACAGGACCTCTGCGGTCCCTGGAATTTGTTCACTGCATCCACAACACACAGACCCCGTGGGCCAGAGTCTGCATCAGAGAGAGAAACATTGAGTGGGTGCCTCCCATACATACCCTGACTGGGGACCAGAGATCAAACCAGCATCCTAGGCATGTGCCCTGACTGGGAATTAAACCCAAAACCTTTCGGTGCGTGGGGCAACGCGGCAGCCAACTGAGCCACCTGGCCAGGGCAGAGATGCTCTCTTCTTGCTCCCTCTACTCTCCCTGAACTTGGAAGAAGGTGGGTCTGGGACTGTGGTCAGCCCCTTCTCCCCACATGAAATCTGGGAAGGCAGACAACAGAAAAGAGAGGAAAGCTGAAGGGCGGTGAGCGGAATCCCAGTCATATGGATTTTGGAATCCAGTCATACATCTGAATTTTGTTAGGTTAGCCGATAAATCCCATTTTTCTTAGGTTTAGGTTTTCTTTCACTTGCAATCAAAAGAGTTCAATTGACAGCCAACAAAAATGGAGAATCGCTTTGATTTACAGTTCGGCTTTGGAAGAGGCCTATCTCATTCTACAGGTGAGGGGGGACACTGAGACACAGGTGGGTGGCTTGTCTTACCTGCCGAGGTCCTCTGCTAGTTCACGGCAGAGCTGGGACTACAGCCCGGGTCTCCTACTTCCCACACAACATCTGCACTACACAGTGGGAAAAATGAACACACAGGACTTGTTTAAAACTTTTAATTAAAAGTGTGCTCCAGTTAAAAGTTTACCTACTGTACATTATACCTGAAAAAAGAATGCACATATTAATATTTTAAGTCATCCCTTCCATTGTTACCTACGATGTGAACTTGAAAGTACAGCAATAGACGGCATTTCTCAGGGGTGTGCTATGGTCTGCTGCAGCAGCAATAGAAATAGCCCAACAAAATAGCTTAAAATGTTTTATTAAGTATATGTAATATTACAGGGTAATATTTACAAAGTTATGTTTTTTAAATAAAAAAATTACCTTGGCAAAGATTGCAGATATTCAAAGCTTCAACAGTGATAAATTGATTTAATACATATTTTAAAAAAAAAAAACCTTTAACGGTAACACAGCTGTAAAACAACTTTGGTCTTTAAATCACTGCAAAAATGGCTACCGACAAATAGCACACCTTTAATTGCTACCGAAAAAAGCCCCGAACAGAGGACTCTGCACATAGCAACACTGGAGTTCTCCTTACGTAGAATGGTAAATGGATGTTCATCTGGTGCGGGATATAATTTTCAACAATGGCTTTTTGTAAATAAGTTTCCATTTAATCAGAACAAAAATGTTTCGCTCTCTCATCTACCCGGATAACGACATGTCTAAGATGCCACTGATGTTGCCTTACAGAGAAGCGTATTACAAATGCTCTCATGTTTTCCAAAGGGCTTCGTTTTGGAAAAACTGGTCTTAAATGATAAGAGCTGTCAAAAACCAAATGCAAGAAAACTGCCTGTTCACTGCTCATCTCTTGAAAGTTACCTGGACTACTCCTATTAGCCACGGAAAATGACTTGACGAAGGACCCCAGGGGCTGATGGCAGTTGGTGATTTTGACAACGCGACACATGTAAAACTGTTTCCGAACATCCTCTCCATCAAATAAAACACAACGAGAAGAGAAAGGTTGCCCAACAAGTTCTCTAGTTTCCAAGGACAGGTAAGCAAACGGGTATGTATTTCCATACATAACACCACAGACGTCCATTTTTGGACACTTATTTTAGGACAAGAGAAATCTAGACAGTGATACAGAGTGTAATTCTTACCAATGAGATGGAAGTGTAAACTTATCACTTTTGAGCTTTATTAGTCAAACCACAATTTGGTCACTTAACTAAACTGACTACAGCATCCTGAAAAAAAGCAATGTTCCTAATTATGGGACAGCCTCAATATTTTCATTCTGACATCCTCAGAAATTTAAACAGAATAAAGCTGGAGCTTCCAGGTGAAAAATCATCATCGCCTTTGAAGGTCTTCAGAGCATGTGAAATTTGTCAAAAAAGAAAACTCTCTGGCTCATCCTATTAAAAATAGTGAAAAATCTACACACAGCTCTCAACCATCAAACATATACTGAATATCTAATGTAGGCAAAACACTGCAGGAAGAGAAAGGAAGAAAAAAAAGCTCTTGCTATGGAGGCATTTTCAACTGAGAAAAAGGAAAAAGTAAGACAAACCCAGAGAGCTAAGCAGAGACACATGAAGTGCTGGGAAAGGTACGTGAGGACAAAAGAGGCAGCAGGTAGGCAGATGGGGACAGACTGCAAAGGGGAGACCGCGGGGAAGGGACGGCTGGAGGATGATGTTTCATGGCAGAGGGGAAATTTGATTTGGCCAGAAAGGTTGATAAGGTTGTTGCACAAATGGCAAATGGCATCACTCGGAGGACATGCAATAAATAAAACTGAACCAAAGAGTCAAGGGCAAAAATCATATCAGTGAGTAAAAAATCAGATTAGAGGGGGAACACATATATGATGCCCAAAACATTGTTAGCAATTTTCATTACGTGTGACAGAAAACTGGGAGCCATTACAAGTCTGTTCGAAAGAGAATGAACTGGCCCAGTGATGCCCAGGCGAGAGGGTTGCTGCTGCTGTGGTCCCTTTTCCAGGGCAGCTGACCACTAGTAAGAGCAAGAGTTGATTGCGTCTGGCCTTTCTCCTGCTACCTTGCTGCGTTGTCTAGGGCAGTGAGTGCCTCAAAGGATGGGCAGCATCAAAGAGAACACAAAGGACAGGTAAGTCCCAAGACTGAACCCCCAATGAAGGAGAGTTTACTATGTATTAAAAGGTATGATGTTAATTCATTAAAAAGTTTACTAGAAACATTTTCATACCTGACTTTTTCTTAAGAGAATAGGAATTTGGATCTTTTTCAAGTCCATCGGTTTTTTTCCTCCTTTCATCAAAATTGGTTTCTAAAGTAACAAACGATATTACTAAAATACAAATATTTTCAGAAGAAAAAAGAGCAGTGGGAGCCATGAGATCTGTATAAAGGAATACAGCTCCCTCTACATAGGGTAATATTGTGGACAGCAACACAATCAGGGAAAAATTATTTTTGTTGTGTTTTTCAAGACCTGTCTTCATAGTGTGCTCAGTTTTCTGAGAGGCATCAGCAGGTCATAAATTTTGGTTTGCCCTGGACAAACCGCTTGGTCCCAACACGAAAAATGACAGTTAATTTGGCATAAAAGAGGCACATGGGGACATTTAGTGGACTAAGAAATAACTATCTGTAACACAATTACAAATATAAATGTCTTATTCTTACAGAAACAGGAAGAATCGCTAGTATTTTTAGACAGGATTGGTGAGCGGTCAACAGACTTGGCAAATCACCTAGAAATTTTGAAAGTTTTAAGTGATCCATTATTTGCATCCAATATAATCCCACCTGACAAAGATCTTTGTTTTTCAATGTTTTGCTAAGAGCGTGAATTAGCATTGGCTCTCCTGCAGGTCCCCCACTGCTGTCCACACGGAGGACGCACGCGCCCACCTCACACATGTGCACACAGAAACACACGCCCACAAAGGAGGAAAAGGGGTGCTAATAATCTAAAAGTACTCCAGGCAATCACGACGGTCAGAATGTTGATTTTCTTCTAATGGGGTAAAAAATGGGGGGGTTTATGTTTTCTTCCTCAATCTTCGAGTCAGGGGAATATGAGGCAGGACTACAGGAGGAAGATGATGCGTGTTTATCATGCAACAGAGACACAACAGCAATAAAACCACCCTGTCGAGGGCCTGACGGTGACACACAGTATGTTGCCATGCAGGAGACACATAGTTAAAACCTCAATCTCGGTTTTTCATGCCCCAGATCAGAAAAGAAGTGAAGAAACACCATAGATTGTGCCTTCGAATCCGAGGAAGGGAATACATATGTTACAACCATCGCTATTTTTGCTGACAAGTGTGAACATAACTCTCTGAGAACAAGTCTGGCTCCTTTCCGCAATGATGCTACCATGTCTCTGGACCATGTTCAAAGAAGAGAAAAGGTGCTACAGCTTGCACAGCAGAAGCAAACAACAGGAGGACAAGACAGGGTTTAAAGGGTTGTGTGAATAAAAGAAAAAGACATCCATCAATAAAACTACCCTAAATCTGGAAAGGATCTGTTACACTGGACGTTGAAGAATATGTGAACGGCAACCCCCAAGAATGAGGAGCATAATCTCCATCAACGGCACATTTCACGTCAGCAGTGCATAAAATGCTTCCAGCCCAATTCCTGTCTGCACTTAATTGGTCATTACTCCCTTGATCCAGAAGGGCAGGCACATTATTCAGCTAACACCGTGACTGCCCATGTGGCTACAAACCTGAGTTTGCTGAAGTCTGGTGGAAGCCCCCGCTCTTCAGCAACATCTCTGGGTAACAACGAGGTTAATGCCAAGTAATTCTCAAGTTGAACCAATTTAAACCGATGACCTAGAGTCAAAAGGTCCTAGGATCTGAAAGTCATCATTCTTGGAAGTTGCCCACTCTACTTTTGCCCCTAACTGAAGAAAAATAAAAAGAAAAATTGGATCTCAATTGGGCACACAACACATCATAATTCTTTTATTAACTAAATCACAAATGCTTTGAATAAAAACTTAACTGGAGTAACCATCCAAAAGTCAATGATTTACTTTTTATTAAAGATGAAAGTCATCTTCTCTTGCCGAGGGAGCAAATCAAGGCCGTGGTGCTTAGACACAAGTGCATTCTTTCCATGTCTTACTACTTCCCAAATCTGAGTCCATCACTTCAATTCAGCTAGTCTGAAAAATTGAAAAATGAGTATTATATACTATTCATGTTTCTGTTCTGTGCATTAACAAGTTGATGTAGCCTAAAGATTTGGAGTTGTTTGAGGTATATGATATCTAAAAATAAAGCCAAGGTATTTAATCTTAGATGTGCAAAGGTCACAGATAAAAAGCAGGCAAACCGTTAGCCTTTTTGGTCGCAGTAAGTAAAAGGGCAATGCCAAATGAAAATAAAGATCAACCAAGTCTGGTCATTTCCAGTTGCTGGATTAGCTGAGGAGAAGCCAAGAGGTGTTAATTTTTCAAAGCAGAAGATATTGCTCGTAGATTAATATTCCATCACATTCACTTTAGGTGTACAGCATTCATTTGATGTTAAGTGAAATAAACATGTGATTAGGTATAAGCGAAAGAGGAAACGGCTCCATGACCCCAGGGGAGTACTATGAACCTTGGCTGCTGACGAGGCAACCACACTGTGAGCATCAAGCAGTTAGTTGTCAGCTGGAAAATCCCACCAGACAGACATTTAAAAATAACTGGCAAATTCTGAACAGCTAAATATTAGTAAAATTAAAGACATTTCAAAGGTCATGGTAGATTTTACACGTTATGAACAAACAAGCACTGCTGTATCTCCTGATACAGTAGATCAAAAACAGGCACATCTTACGGGAACTCAAACAAAGGAAGAGGTACTCAAGGTCCTTATACTGATTTTCTGACAATAGAGAAAAAGACTTCAGCTTCTCTACACCACTACAGAAGAATGACTCCACAGCAGAAAAAGGAGAGAACAAAATAAAACTTAAAAACAGAATACCAGAATAAAAACATGAACAAACCATGCTACAGTTCTAGGCCTCAGTTCTTTTTTTTACATACCATTTGAGTTATTCCTACGAACTACAATTTTTTGCAGGGCCATGGTTAGCACAGTAAAACGTGCATTTGTAATAAAGGCTGTGACGCGAACCTACAGAAGCGGGGTCATTCTGTGCCTCCCAGCTGAACGCAGCCTCACCATTGTTTTAGACTTAACCCACCAACCCACAATCAGTGTCATTTTACTCTTGGACTCAGGGGAGTACAGCACCTCAAGTTCAATGCTGCACTCTGCTCCAGAGGTGAGCAGGTAGGTCACAGACTTTAAAACAGCAAAATGGAAAGTGAAATGTTCACATGATCAAGGCATGACTGCAAACACCACAGGTATGAAGAAGTTTGTGATAAGATAAAAACAGAGCTGAAGTATGGCAGCATGTTAAGGTAAAATTAAAAGCAAACACTTCTAGGATTCAATATCTCTGACTTCTTTAAGAACAAATGTGTCTTCGAAATACTTAATAAAAACTTTAAGTTGTTAGCCCAGCACCCCCCGCGCCAAAAAAAGCAAAAGCTGGAGTGATTAAACGTTTTTCCCTTTAAATCCTCTCCCAAAAGGTTAGACCCAAGTTCCTTTGTGGAAAAGCAGAGATATTAAGCCTCCATGAATTATATGAAACAAAATCACCAACGCAAGCACAAAAGAAACTCTGTCAAGATTATAAAGATTTGTGTCAGGGTATCTGTGTCATATAAAACCCTGTGATTTTTACATGTAACTTTTAAATCTGGTGACTTTAAAGTTACAGTCACCAGACACTGCATGTAAAATACAGTTTTTAAAAAGCGGTCATTTCCCTTTGCTACGAGCAGCGTGACGGACAGCCTGGTCAGTGGCACCCTGCAAGCTTTTCCATCACCATTTCGCGATTTCGACAGAGTGGATTTAAATTGGGTAAATCAAGAAATGTAAACCTTTATGATTTGACAGTGTCCCTTTTATTTAAAAAGCCATGTTTTCAAGAAGCCATTTTATTTCTTTTTCAGTGTCCATATTTTAAGCAGTCTATAATTGTAGGTGCATTTTACACTTACCATCATTCATCATTCCCTTTGATTCTTTAAATGCTAAGAATTAGTAACAAGCCAAACAAGCAATTAGTAAGGTTCCACAATTAAAAATCATTTGTAAATAAACAAATATGCAGTAATATCATGCCAACTACTCCACAGCTGTCAGTCCACACGGACTGTAAGGCATCTGATTACAATGCCTTTCTGTGGACCCTGCCCAGAGCCCCCACCGCGGACACACAGCCAGTGCAGCAGACAGATCTAGACTTGGGGAGAAAGAAAGGGAAGTGTTTTGGCCTCACTCCATGGTGATAGACTGTATCATTCTAAATTTATAAATCAGAGATGAAAGCCCATGGAGATTTTTCTATACTGGGGCGCTACACTTCGTCACGGCCAATACAAAAAGGCAACAGCCCCCGCTGAGCCTCACCTGACCAGTGCATACAGCCACTCGTGAGGCAGAGAGCAGCGCGCTTCCCTCAGTGGTGAGGACATTACAAAAGCAACAGTGCTAATTCTTGATTAACAATCAGAAAAGAGGCCAAGGCAAGGAAAAAAAACTAGATTCTTCCCAAACCATAGACAGAATATTCTAACTGATTTGGGGACCAGTTCAAATTATGATCTGGTAACAGATGAAGGAAAATATATACAAGTTTGTAATAACCACATACCATTAAGGGGTTCCTCTACAGCTTTCTGGAAAATATTTAAAATATATTTATATAAAAATAGAATATATTTCATGTCCTTCATACTGAAATTTACATAAGCTAACGTTTAAACTATAGTAACCAGTGAATCCTATAGTCCCAAAACAAGGCAATAAAGGTTAAATGCAAAGCCTGCCAAGTCTCACTAATAGTTTAGTAATAACTGTACTGTTCCCTGAACATTCACTTTCTAGGCAAAATTTCCCACCCCACCCAAGCCTCTCTCAATTCAAGAAATCCTAACTTCTCAAAAAAAAATTATTAAAGTCCAAAGTAAACAGCAACAAAAGCAATACAGTTAAATAAGAAACAAGAGCAAAACAACCATTTTTAAATCACGCAAATTAAACTCAGTGACAGGGAGAGAGGATGTGTTAGTATCTGAAGGTCTGCTGGCTGGATTGTCTCTAATGGAGGCACGTGAGAAACTGCTGCGTGTTTGTGACTGATGTGGCCCCGCACCATTCTCTTCGGAACAAATACCGGTGGCAGACACTCCCTTCTCTCCCTGGCCTGCCAGGTTTGTTGGTTTGTTGCAGGCTTATCAGATTGAGGAGCATAAGTAATCCCCACTTCCTGCCACACACTCTTTGGGCATTCCCGCACAGCTATCGTTAAATCCTTTACCGGAAGATGGGTACGGCACAGCACTTTCCAGGTTTTATTCGCATAAAGTAGCTCCTGCACCTGTCACCACAACAGATCTCTATTTATAAAAGTTTTGTTTAACTCCCTCATTTATTCCCCTCAGTTTATCTCCTAAATTTACTCTTTTTTGTTGGAATTTTCTCAGGTAGCTTAATAATGTATCCAAGATACAGTCAAAACTAAAGTACAGTTTAGAGGAAGAAAAATGCTTATAAAATAATGAGGTAAGGAGGGAAATAAATCATCATTCCAAATAGGTATTTTAAAGCAATGTTTACATTTACTTTATAGATTATTATTTTAATAACATCAACTCGCTATGAATCTCTCCCTCATCTGAAGTCCGAATACTATTTTGTACATGCACATGAAGTAAATCCGACAGGTGAGGAGGCCCTGTGCTGCAACCAGCTTTGCTCCAGCAGAGATAAGGGCCATTATTCCTGGACATAAACTTTCTAGTTCCGGCTACAAGAAGTTAGCATCATCTTAAGGAATCATTTATTCTACCCCGTTGCTACTAAATGACCAAACATTTAAAAGTAGAATTAGATCTATTTGTGCAAAGGTCATGACATGACTTCAACGTGTTCTCCATTGGTTGTTACACTAGACAGTAAAAGGGCTCAGCATCTCGATCATCTTTCCTCAGTCTATGTCATCACGTGATCAGACCCAATTCATGTAAGAAATGTTAACTTACCCTAGGAGGTTGTATAGTCCTCTGATCAGATGCTGGTAAAATTAAAAAATAAGAAAAGAAACGGAATAAATGAAAGCCACTAAAACAATGCAATGCACCATTTAATTTTAAAATAAAATGTTCAGGCTGAAACTAGAGGTGCCAGAAAGTCCATTGAAAGAGTCCCAGTTTTGACAGTCTATTAAAAAATACAGGACATTCCTGATTATATGAACTGAGAGAATAAAATGATGCAAATAATCCACCTCCATCAAATAATAAACATACACATTCCCTTGTTTGCACATGCCAAAACTTCCCCCACTCTATGGCGGAAAAAGTCTGCCATCCGCTCACACCATCAACTCCATATCCCTCCCTACTAAGTGGACAGAATGTGACAATGACCAGTCTCTGTCTCTACTCCACCCTTAGCTCCCTGCTCTCGTGCCTTAAAGCCCAGTCGTCTTTTTTCTTTCTTTCATCCTTCAAAGCTCCAGATAGCTACAATGAAAGAAAATATTCCGATCCCTCTGCGTTTAAAGAATTATTCTAGACAGGCAGTTTTAGCTGCAATCAGGCCCTTCTCTATGTGTTCCTTCTTAGCTGCCCCTTAGCGTAGCTTCCCCTTAGCTTAGCCATTCAGAAGTGCTGCTCCTGAATACACTGACTGGTTGGTGAAGATGAAGGGTATGAAGGGTACCCAGGGTACCCTTCCAGGGTATGAAGACAGTGACAAAAGGACAAAGAATTGCTCTAGTTGTGTCAAGAAGAGAACACTTTCTTACAAAAACGAAGTGACGAGGACCCAGAGCAGCTACAACCAGTCCTCAGGACAGAATCAGAGTCCTACAGACACGAAAGTAGCAACCAGCAGCAACGCCCTGCCAACGACTCTAGAAGGGTGACGCTACTGGTTAGTGGATTCCACTGCTCCACGAACTGGATGATAGTACGGGAGCTGCATGTTAGCAGATGGAGGCAGGCCCTCAGAACTGCTCTCATTTTCTATGTTACTTATTTACTATCTCTCCGTAACCGCTTTATGAAGCTCCCAAAGCTGATGGGAAATACGGGTGAGTGGGAGCCGACCCAAGGGCAGCCACCTACAGGTGAACCAGAAGCTGACAAGCCTCTGAAACAGGGAAAATGGCAACAGACTGGCCTGGAAAGTTTCTTTATCCTGGGGAAATCTGAAGGGGGAGAGATAGAATAATGACTAGAAAGTTGCTGACAGTAAAGGAAGGTGATAAGGAAAGTAAGCAAGGAGAAGCTCAAAGCTTAGAGCTCTAGGTAAGAAAAACTAGCACTAGAAGACATAAATTGGATGCAAGGTAAGGACATAAAGAGAGAGGATGGGCTAGTTGGCTAGTAGGTGAAGAATCACAGAGAGAGGAACTAAGTAATTGTAAACATAGGAAGGATTAACCGACTCTGGTCCCTCAGAGGGCAGCCAAGATGACTCAGACCTTTGAGACGTACTTCCAATTCCTTAACTACTTACTGTTCCACTCTGTGAGGCCCAGTTATGTATGAGGTGGGCTCCTTGTAATACAGGCTTCCCCCTCTAGGTGAGTGTTCTAGGAACCCACTGGTATCATGTACCAGCTGGCGTTGTTGTGAAAGCCTGTGTTTGGTTTGAGTGAAAATTTTTTGAACACTCTTTCAGCGTGTTTGCCCATTTCATGAAGGTGATCTGCTAGTGCACCTGCCCACGCTGCACTGAGTGTTCACTCAGTGACCCTCATGTCCCACCCTGCCTATTTACCTGATCTTGCCTTGAGGAACTCTTTTTTGTTTTGTTTTGTTTTTCCAATGTAAAAAGCCCTCAGAGGGAAATGTTCTGCCGATGCAGAAGAAGTGAAACAAAAATGGCAGAAGCACTAAAGGCATCAAAATTGATGAGTTAAAAAACTGTTCTAGGCAGTGGAAAAAAAACATCTCAATACATGTATTGCACTTAATGGAGAGTACTTTGAAAGTGACTGAACTTTAAACATGTCAAAATAAATACAGATTTTTACTATCAATTCTAGGGGTTTGGGGTCCCCCCTCATATCTGCTCTCATGAGATTCCCATCTCTGTTACTCTCATGTGTGGCTTTAAAGTAAAGCTCCCTTATTGGGAGCACATGGAGAGTGGTTTGGTCCTTGCAACCGAAGAAGCAGGAAGCTTCTTTTTAAAGCACTATGGATCACTCCATAGTGATCCCTAGTGGATCCTATAGGTTTGGGAATATGAGTGAATTCACATTTAGCAAACTTCCAAATAAACCAACAGAATTACAGAACTTTATTAGGCCTATCATGACTGTTACATGTATAAATAACTTACTTCAACTAAGCCATGTCCTGTATCTACATTCCATCTGGGAAACAAAGAACTGAACAGCTATGGAAACTACTAATTGGTAATATGAAGAATCAGAGGCAAGATTTTAGAGTTAAATTTTTGAGCTCAGAAACTTATTCATCAGAATTAGTACTAAGAACTAACTGCCAAGTAGCTCCTTTTCTATCCTAATGACTTATAAAGAATAGTTTGTGCGTTCCCCTTCTCAGGCACAGGAATATCACATTTAGCTAGCTGATTCTGAAAAAAAAAAAGAGATCTATAAAGAACAGTGATTCAAAGGCACATAGATCTACTGAGATCCCTTTAATATGATATACCCAACCAGTGCAGAAGTTAATTTCACTGGACTTAATCCTCTCCAATAAGCATATGACCTATGTAACGATTGTGATTTATCTGCTGCCGCTGGGGGCCTGAGGCAGTGGCAGCCATAGCTCCGTAGTTTTAAGACCTCGAAGCCTTAAGCATTTCACATGAGCTCACTTGCAATGCTTCTTGATTTGTTCTTCTCTCCCTGAAATGCCTGAAACATGCCATAAATATGAATACTCTTAGATTTTGAACTTTCAGAAATACTTTTTGCAATTGATACCAAATGCACCTCTCCTCGACCACGGGCAGGAAAATGTCCCTAATTTATATACATATTTCATGTCGTTCTAATATATTTGAGATGTGGTAAATATGCTCTCTGACGGCCTGTAGGTTGATTTGTATCAAAACACGATTATATGTACTTGTAGTGGTAATGGCTTTAAAATTTAACAAGTATATAAACACCCTACATAAATAGCAAGTCTAATTTTACTGCATTTAGTTAGTTCCTTTTAACTTTCTGTACGCTCTCCCATTGTTATTGTCCCCAGACCCTAATTTCCTTTCATAAAGTTTAAGTGTTTCCATTAAAAAGATATCTAACATAATGGAAAGACCAGAAAAAAATGAAAGTTAAAATCTTACTCTTTAAAGTAACAAGTAAGGCCACAAATTTAAACTTGGAAATAATGAAAATGATAAAAGTTAAACCTCTCGTTGGGACATTAATTTTATCTTAAGAAATACCTTGGATTTTTAAAAAAACTATCTGAGAATTTTATTGCATTTAAGCCGAGACACATTCATTAGGCTTTTCCAAAGCAGAGCATCTGCGAAGAATGAAAGTTATTTTGGAAACATTTGTAATTTTAGTTCCTGATTCGAATGTTCAAATTTGCAACCTTAATGTTACGTATAATCAGATTTACAGATTCCGTAAGAAAAACGCATCCATCCTCCCAGTCTCGTACAGTAGCCAGAGAACAACTTTCCTGTACCTTTTCTCTTCTCGCCCTTCAACTGAGGGAAGGTGTGCCTCTGAGCTCTGGTATCGGACAAGTTGATTGGAAAAGTTAATTTAGATTACCCTCATCATGTCAATAAAATTGGACTAAATTCTTAACTTATAACAGGTATATTTATATGTTAAACTATGATAAAAAATAACCCGGGGAAATTTTCATCCTTTCACTTTCACTTTGATTTTAATGTGAGAACAGTGCGTTTGTAGCGATACTGGTTCCACAGGCTTCTGAGGGGTGCCAGCAATGGAGAAGGGGGAGAGCAAAGTCAAGGGCGTGGCAGCTGGACAACGCCTATCTCCACTTGAGTCAGCATCTCCAGACCCACTGCCAAGTGTACTGAACATCATTCTTTGTTACACGTGGAAGGCATGGCGGACCATGGCAATGAAAGGGAGAGCAAGCCAGATAATAAGGGAAGAAAGAACAAGGGTCTGACCATCAGGCAGGGACACCGGATACTGCAGAATGTCGTGTGGAGACTGTAGCTTACGTACTGTTCTCAAGCACTCATAGGGAGGGACATAATCAGCAGTGTCATCTTCAAGAACCAGACCAATGGTGACTGGACGAATCGACCAAACAGAGTGTGTATCAGCACCCACAATGTGATGCTCACCATAGCTACCAAACGAATGTCACTCTGCTTTAGAAGTCTTAAATGTGCTTTAGGATGGAGGCAGGAACTCAGAAAATTGCACTGACGAAGAAACTATGACTTTATGAACACATAAACTAAAATAGGTACAGTTAAGTATTGTATTTTAATTGTGTACCTAATAAGTATTAATTAAAAGAAGACAAAGAATATGTAACAGATATGAATTTCAGTGATCAGCCAGCAAAAGCTGAAGTTCAAAAATAAAGATTGGATTTCTTTGAAAGTACTGTGCAAGTCATATGGAACATTATTTGACTATGTGGATTTGTTAAAGGCAACAATTATTTGAATTTAACAATCCAAGCTTTGTATGAATTTTTAGAAACACACACAGTAAAGTTCACTTAAAGCAAAGTAGAAAGACTGATTTTTTTTACTCCAAGAGTTTGTAACTTCTGACTATTTTACTAGGGGTTTAAAAGCACTTGCTTTACTTCATAAAGGAAAGCAAGTAAAAAAGTTTTTTTAAGGGATACTAATATAAACCAGACTTTAGGAAACATCTTTCGGCACTAATAAAAGCAGTTATCTCTATATATGTATTAAAAATAACTTATACAGAAAGCTGTCAACTGCTAATTGGCAGATTAAATGCAAAGTTTAGAAACAATAAGCTAATTCCACACTTAGTAACAACTGATTTTAAAAGCAATAAAAGCCTAAATTTAAAAATTCATATTCTAAAGTCGAGTATCAGCGGACACTGTTCTTTAATTAGCAAAAGTGACAGGTTTTGAACTTCAATTCCTGTCCACTTATGGGTGTCAAGGTGTAGGAACAATCTTCAGGAAGAGATCCTCTGTGAGAGAGTGCTATCATAAAAAAAATGGGCAGATTAAAAACCTTTTCTATTTATTAAAATGAATCCTCAACCAGCTCTCCTTTTCTATAGTATAAATAGGTATAAAACAGTATAGCAATATTTAATCTATAATCTAAACTTTCCATTTATGTATAGGATTTCTACCCTCTTTCGTGAGTTACCAATACATTTCTTTGATCCTAACTTAAAGAACCAACCAAAAAGCACTTTCCTAGTGACACAGGGTGAGGCAGACGTAGGTTTACAGTAGTTTAGGTGGAAAACAATAGAATAGTAAATCATAATATAAGAATAAACTCTGTATTTGTACGTACTCACGACTGTAAACCTACTTTTGCCTGACCCTGTATATCTGAAATCTTATCACAGACTAACAAAAATAAAATTAACTTACCATTAAATTTCATATAAACTAGTCCAAGTAACTCTGCTAAAGCTACAACACCCAAACCTGAAATCAGAAGAGGGCCGTGCACTGGGGAACACGCTGTAAAACAAATAAAATCTTACATTAGAAATTCACATGAAATAACTGAACTTCTTAAAAGAAACAATAAAAGTAATAACATCAAGTTGTAAGGAAAATAATTATTTTTCTCATTATCAAGAAACAAAGTTTACCTACATATATGTTCACTCATTCTTCACTCAGTGAAATGACTCCAATTCAATCTTTTTATTTTTAAGTGACTCATTTAATTTTTTATTAAAATAAAAAAACTCCTTGTTTACATAATGTGTACCTTCTATCAGGAATAACGGAAGACAGTCTGTAAAGCCTACGTCTCCAACCATTTGAAGCCTGGTTATTTTAAAAGTTCTCCCATGATTCTAAGCAGTTTGGAGGCAAGAACAATGAGCCCATAAGCCACATGTAGCAAAACGTGGAAAGCACTGATCTCAGTGGGAGCAAAAATGAGAATTTCAAATAAAAAGCTCACAACACGCAGTGCTGACAAGAAGACAGAGCAACAGAAATGTCCTTTCGTTGCCGGCAGGAACACAAAGTGGCAGAGCCACTGTGGAAGACAGTTCCCTAATTTGTTGCCAAACTAACTATACTCTGAATGTGCAGTCCAGCCATCGCACTCTGTAGTATCTATCCCAACGAAGTGGAAAAATTATATCCACACAAAACATGCACTTTTATATCTTGTGTCTAGATCTGTGATTTTAGAACAAATTAGTACCTTTCCAAAGTACCAAAAGCAACCAAGATGTCTCTCAAAAGGTGAATGGATAAACAAACTATGGTCCATTCACACAACGGAATATCACTCAGGGCTAAAAGGAGGTAAGTTATCAAGCCACAAGAGACATAGAGGAACCTCAATACATACTAGTAAGGGAAAGAAGTTCATCTGAGAAGCCTAGATATTATATGACTCCAAGTATAAGGCATTTTGGAAAATACAAAACTATGGAGGCAGGAGAAAGATCGATGGTTGCCAGGGTTTTCAGGATAGAGAGGATGAACAGGCAGAACACAGAGGATTTTTAGGGCAGTTAAAACTTTTCTGTATGATATTCTATGACTATGATCCATGTCATTACACATTTACCAAAATCACAGAACATACAACACCAGAGTAGACCCTAATATAAACTATAGGCTTCGGGTGATAGTGCTATGTCAATGTTGGCTCAACACAATGCAACAAATGTAGCACTCTGGTGGGGGCCGCTGATCGTGGAGGAGGCTGTGAGGATATGGGATACAGAGGACCTCTCTGTATTTCCCACTAAATTTGCTGTGAACCTCAAATGCTCTAAAAAAATAAAATCTATTAAAAGAAAAAGAATAAGAAAAACAAAGAAAAAGAAAGTTCTGTCCAAGAGAAAGTCCTGGTAAGAAGAGAAATTGGGACCAGAGAAGAATGTGACCCTTACCTGAGACACAAAGGCTTAGTCCAACCACAGAGAGCACAAAGCCCAGCAGCTGAATGACCAGTATGGCAATGCTGAAGGAGGACAGCCCAACAGCTGGACCTTTGAGGAAAAAGCATGTTGAGAGTGTTTAAGAAGCAATCACTTCGACTTGTATTTTGTACAAACAAGGCTAGTATTGTATGACCAAAGACCGACTCTAGAGTTCCTTGTCAGGTGGTACATGCTTTCCCAGTGATCTAAACCGTAACATTCTACCCCAGTAGTCAGCTCCAGATTCTCACACTCGGCAGCCTTTTATTTGTGCAGTGAGCTGAGCTAGACTGACAGTTTCCACCTAGAATCTTAGAACAAGGCTGCTGTTACCGCACTTGTGCACTTTATGTGAATGGCTATTATGCAGGGCTTTCCCACACGCCCACAAAACTGCCCTGTTGGAGAACCATTATGCAGGCATGTCATTGTGAACACCACAGCCTCTGTATCGGGTCTAGATCTGTGTTTTTATAACAAATTAATACCTTTCAATGTACAGCAACCCAGAGAGAGACTCTAAGACCAAGAGTCGAATGTGCAAATAGAAAAAAGTAGACTCTTTGATTGTAACAAAAATATTCAGTGATTCACTCCCCAAATGTAGTGAAAATGGTACCAATTATAGGTTGGATATTACATATATTCCTTTAAAACTACAATGTTAAGATTTTCCAATAACTAAAAAATATGTACTTTTTTCACTCTATCATTTGTAACTAACTCTATTTTGTAGAACTACTTTTTTAAAAGTGAGGCTTAGCAAAAGAAGAGAATGGGAATGTTTACTATCTACAACTTCAGAAAACTGAGATAAGAATAGGAAGATAGTCATTTAGAAATCATATAGCACAATTTTTAAAAATCAATTGATGTGTATTAAATATATCTATTAAAATCACTTTTTACAATATAATTAAATACCTTGAAAACCTAATATAACCTTAAAATTAATCCATATGGGGAAAATTTCACTACAAATAGCCAAGGAGATAAACCAACTTTCACTGTGTTATAAAAAACCATACAAGAATATTTTAATCAAAAATGCCATTTTTAAATGAAAAAGGTAGGCCCAATCATGCAAAAACGACAAATACTTACTTATCATAAACACAGAGTACTGAAGTAATATTAATATCACTGTAGGAACCACAATTAAACCAAGTCCACTGGCTTTCTTTGTTGAATATTCACCTATTAATAAATACAAATAGTATTTAAAATATTTTAATACATACTTCCTACTTAATTTATTAAATTTATTTATAATAATACTACTCTTGTAAACTATAAAATGTTGAAGAATATGTGCTTCCCCCCAAAGTTCACACAAAATAAGTGACTACTGTTTTATTTAAAACCAAACTTAAGATAGCTAAATGTCGACATCTACGTCTCAACATGCCAAAACCTGGAGTTGGCTTTGCTTCCTTCTTAACTACCTTGGAGCCTGTCTTACCAATCCCTTAATCTGCTGTATTTAGTATGTCCCAAAGTCAAAATAGTTATTCTTTCTAACTGCCTCCTGAATTCCTCTCCTTCCTCCCCATATTCTCACTAACTCCAGCTGCAAACAAAGCTGCCAAATTTATGCTCCTAAACATTACACCCATACAGTATTCTGCCCAAAAAACAACGGCTTTCCTCAGTCTACACATTAAGTCCCAGCCTATCTTTGCTGTTCTTCCATGTGCTGCAGACCCTCACGCCCCACCCTCCAAACGCAAATGTAGCTTCAGGTGGATTTGTTTCCCACATTTATTCCCATATCCATGTCTCGGCCAGTGAAGTTTGCCTCGGTAGTGGGTCGAACGATGACCATAAAAACATGTCTACCTCTTAATCCCCAGAGTCTGTGAATATTAATTTATACAGCCAAAGAGGAAGTATTCCATTATATGGCAAAGGATACAAATAAATTTAGGATCTTGAAAGAAGCTTATCCTGGACTAACTGCGTGGGCCCTAAACCCAGTAAGTATCTTTGAAAGAAAGAGGCAGGAGGAGATTTAACACAGGGAATTGGAGTTATGTTGCCACAAACCAAGGAGCTGCAAAGACTGCCAGCAAACCTCAGAAACTAGAAGAAGCAAGGAATGGATTCTCCCCTGGAGTCTTGGGAGGGAGTATACCCATGATGATATCTTTATTTCAGACCTAAGGTCCTCAAAACTGAGGCATTTCTTCTTGTTTTAAGACACCCAATTTGTGGTGATTTGTTATAGCAGCCTTAGAAAACTAATATTTCATCCCCCACCCCCGGCAATGCTCTCAACCTCATTGATCCTGACTTCCCTCCCAGTAACCGTACAGCTTACCTGGGACCAAAAGAATGGCTCCAACGACGACAAATGCAGTGAGCGCTATTCCAGCAATAAATAAAAAAATGGACTTCTCCCTCGAAACACTGGAACTATATTTAAGTGCTTAAAAAAAACAAAAACAAAAACAAGAAGAATTCCATGAACTAAATCTCAGAAGTGAAGGCATTTCTGTAACTTACAAAGTACAGCAACGAACTGACCACTTCCTATAAGTGAACAGCCCTTGAGAAACAACCTCTTCACATCACACCGAGCCACCTCCAGTTTTTTTCTTAAGAAGTCAATGGCTAACAGTCATGACAGTATAAATACAGATGCTGAATCTGTAGGTGCCACTTTTATCCCCGTATACTTTATAGATAAGTCATGTACCTTACATTAGGCTTTCCCAGTTCACATTTAGGGCCAGGTAGGTCTGTGTGGGGGAAGGGGGTTGCTCTGTACACAGAGAATGTTTCGTAGCATCCCCATCCCTACAAACTACATGCCAGGAGCACCCGCCGCCGCCCCCTCACCAGGTTGTATCAGTCAACAGTGTCTCCGTCTAGTGTGAAATGTCCCATGAGGAGTGAAACTGCCTCAGGTTGACAACTGGTATAAATAATGCTCATCGAAACAATTGACTAACTAGTAATACCGAGAAAAAGAAAACCTTGTTCTAGCTCATATAAAATTAGTAAAGCATCTGGAAATCTAGATATTTTCTTTTTAAAAAGTAGAATACACATTGGACAAATCACACACTCTAGAAATCCTCAGGGGAGAAAATGCTTACATTGTTCAATTAAAATATTTTCTTAAAACTATACTATAAGTACTCAACAGGATTCATTATACATGTTACTGATTTTGGTGCTAGCTCTACTGTCAAGAATCTGGTACCTTCCTGAAAGAACAATGTAATGGATAAGCCTAATAATATTATTTCTTTTATTATATCTTCACTTTTTGGGGTTTCGTTTTGGTTAATATTAAAATTAATTCTTTACAAAGAAAGTTGTTGAAAGTAACCTAAAAGCAGACTGAGTAACAGAGAAACAGTGCATATCTGAATTCCGTTTGGTTCCATCCAGGTTACTAGTCAGTATCCTGAGGGGGCAAAATTTTTTAAATGTTATATTTAGCATTAAATTTGTTCCACTAAAATGACAGATCAAATACAGTATGAACAACGAACAACCCCTTAAATGACCATGCCAGTATCTATTTGAAAGGTAGTATAACCTAGGGTTATATGATAACCTGGGGTAAAGTACTTGAGGTGTAATATAGGCATCTGAAGATTTTCAAAAATCACTTCCTCCTCATACGTTAGATTGTAAACCTCAACTTGATTCTCTTTAGGGAGAAGATGGAGAACTAATCAATCATCAGTCCTGAAAATGAGTAACCGGAATTCAGATTCATCAGAAAAGGAATAAAAACCATACGGCAAGTTCCCCAAGCTTTCGTTTTATCCATGCAGGCTGGGAACTTACCCCTCAGCTACATAAGCCACCACTATGACTCAGTTGCGCCCCTGCCTTCTTCTGGGGCACAGATTTTCACTGACTCCCTATTTTCTAGGCTCAAACACTAATGAGGATAAAATTCAGTGTATAGGTTACAAAAGGCACAAACATAGAAAATAAACTTTCTCTAGACATACGTGAGCTTTTCCATTTAATTCAATGCATATTGTTATCTAAACATAGCTTGAAAATTCTACAAAAGGGTTATAAAATAGGAGCTGTTTCAAATGCCCCTTACAATTAATCAAACATTCAAAAATTACTCTTCTGAGTTTAACTGAATACATAAAAGAGCTACTAAGATTAAGCAGCAAGAATTCACCTTTAGAGTACATTAGAAGTTCATGCAAAAAGGCTGACATACCATTCTTAATAAAAATAAGAGTTTGACGCTTATATAAAATTCAACCCTCTTGAGGCTTAGAAGAGTTAAAGGAAAAAAAACTACTACCAAGAATAGCAACAAAAATAAAAGACCATAAAATACTATGATTGACAGTGTTTTACCATAGAATGACCTTTTCAAAAGCTTTGCATATAAATATTGGAGGTAGCTTTAGTTTCTAATAATTGGTTCAACCACTATTTATTTTCCAGGCTACCTGCAACTCTCCCTTAAATTAAGCAACCATTTCTATTTATTGAGTTTTGAGAGAGGTGAGGAAGGGGAAGGAGGGAGGGAGAGAGAGAAACATGGACTTTGTTGTTCCACTTATTTATGCATTCATTGGTAACTTCTCATATGTGCCCTGTAGCGCCGGCCAGGGCTTAGACAACCATTCCTAACAAATATATTAGTGAGATCCATTTACGTAAACACAGGAATGAAAGAGTATCTATCTCCATGTTTCCTTTAGTGAATCTTTTTAAAAAAGGGTTTTTTTTTTTGTTCATTTTCTTTGCTCACAATGGCCACATTTTGGCACATTCCACAGCAAGTGGGGAGACAGTATTTTGCACCCAGTTGTCAATTTTTTCATTGTAGCAAAAGGGCTTGGAATCTAGTATAGATGCTATAGAACTCAATAATCGTGAGGATCTGTTTTTGTGTGTATGATCTTTTCTTGTCCTTTAATAAATAGATTTATCCTTATTTATCAAATCTATAAAAATTTAAATATAAACAAAGGAAATACATTTAAGTAACTCTACAAACACTTAGCATTAAGATAAAGATAAATTAATGTGCTGCTATGAACATTGGGGGGCATAGGTTCTTTTGGATTGGTGTTTCAGGGTTCTTACGATACAATCCTAGCAGTAGAATTGCTGGGTCAAAAGGCAGGTCGATTTTTAGTTTTCTTAGAAAATTCCATACTGTTTTCCATATGGTTGTACCAGTCTGCAATCCCACCAACAGTGAACTAGGGTCCCCTTTTCCCCACAAAACCTCTCCAACATTTGTTGTTTGTTGCTTTGTTTATGAAGGCCAGTCTGACCGGTGTAAAGTGGTATCTCACTGTGGTTTTAATTTGCATCTCTCTGATAGCTAATGATACTGAGCATCTTTTCATATGTCTCTGGACCTTCTGTATATCCTCCTTGGAGAAGTGTCTGTTCAAGTCCTTTGCCCATTTTTAAATTGGGTTGCTTGTTTTCTTAGAGTGGAGTCGTGTAAGTTCTTTGTATATTTTGGAGATTAAACCTTTGTCTGAGGTATCATTGGCAAATATGTTTTCCCATATAGTTGGCTCTCTTTTTATTTTAATACTGTTTTCTTTAGTCATGCAGAAGCTTTTTATTTTGATGAGATCCCATTTGTTTATTCTTTCCTTTATGTCCCTTGCTCTAGGGGACATATCAGTAAAAATGTTGCTGCATGAAATATCTGAGATTTTCCTGCCAATGTTCTCCTCTAGGACTTTAATGCCCATCAGTAAATGAATGGATTCAAAAACTATGGTATATATACACAATGAATTCTATGCAGTGGAAAGAAAGAAGGAGCTCCTACCCTTTGCAACAGCATGGATGGAACTGGAAAGCATTATGCTGAGTGAAATAAGCCAGGCAGTGAAAGACAAATACCATATGATCTCACCTTTAACAGGAACCTAAACAACAAAACAAACAAGCAAGCAAAATATAACCAAAGACACTGAAATACAGAACAGGCAGACAAGGACCAGAGGGGAGAGGAGAGAGAATTTCAGGGGAAAGGGGGAAGGATTCACAGGAACAAGTATAAAGGACACATGGACAAAAACTAACAGGGGTGGAAATGGGAGGGAGGTGGGGAGCACTGGTGGGGGGATGGGCTGGGATAGGAGTAAAAGACAGAAAACTGTACTTGAACAATAATAAAAATATATTTTAAAAAAGATAATTTAATGTATTCTTAACAGCAGGCTCTTATCAAACTTCCTCATATGATTTTCTAGCTAGTTGGTAAGGCAATCTATGTATTATAATTTAAAAAGTCTGCATGCTTTAAAAGATTCCCCTCAGCTAAAAGTACTGAAATCTATATGCAACATCAAATATTAGAAAGAAGAGTATTTACACTTTTTAAATACTTTTTAAGCACCAGTTGAGCTTTAGAACAGAATTCAGAGGGAGGTACAGAGAACTCCCATGCCCTCCCTGCCGCTATAACCATGTCCGTCCCCCATTACCAACATCACTCACCAGAACGGCACAGTTTTCACCATGAACCTATACCGACACATCATGATCGCCCAAAGTCCACAGTGTGCCTTAAGTGCTGTACATCCTACGGGTTTGGACAAATGTAAAATGACATACGTCCATCACTACGGTATCACACAGAGGGTTTTCACTGCCGTAAAAACCCTCTGTGCTCTGCCCACGCATCTCACCCTGTGCCCCACTGCTAGCAACAACCCGTCTTTTCCTCGTTTCCACACGTTTGGCTTTTCCAGAACGTCTTCTAGTTGGAATCATAGAGCATGTAGCCTGTTCAGATCGGCTTCTTTCACTTAGTCATATGCAGTTAAGGTTTCTCCATGTATTTTCATGCTTGATAGTTCATTTCTCTCTATCTGGATGTATCACAGTGCACTTATCCACTTTACCTACTGAGAAACGTCTCGGTTGCTTCCACGTTTTGGCACTCATCTATAAGGTGCTATAAATATCCATGTGCAGATTTCTCTGTGGACATAAGTTTCAACTCCATTTGGATAAATACCAAGGAGCACGATGGCTGGATCATCGTACAAAATAGTATATGTGATTTTGTGACGAACTGCCGAACTGTGTTTCAGTGTAGCTATAGCATTCTGCATTCCCACCAGCAATGAGTGAGGGGTTCCTTCTGCACCACATCCCCGCTAGCACGTGGTATTTTAGTTACATTTTTAAACCTTATGACCAGAACTTATAACCTTAGTACTACCTGACACAGGCATACCAAAAATAGTGGGAGGCAATATTATATTTCTGTCAAGAAATTCGGAATTTGAAAGTTTCCCCTCTTATATCACCTATAAGACATTGGATACCATCTATAAATCTAGCCAGCTACTTTTAGAAATGAGCTAGGTAGCTTCATTTGTTTGCTCTAGAAATAGGTACTGTGTAGCTACAATGTAGCTGGCCCTTTCCTTAGTCCATCTCAACCAAGTCAAG